GGACCTACTCCATGGCCTTTTCTGGGGAACCTCTTGCAGCGAGATGTACTACCTGTGGACAGGTTATATAAAAAGGTAAGATTAGCTGACTATTGTACTTCTTCACTGTTTTGGAAAGTGATTACTTTGAAAGAATTCTGTACCTTTCCCTAATTTTAGTAGTTTGATTTATTGTATAAGCATCCAATTTTATTGGGGGGTTGTGTGTATCTTCAGCAGGAATTTTTGTGTAAGGCACCTTGTAACAGTCTGATGGACACATTATGGAAGTTACAAAGTTCATTAAAAATAAGTAGTAACAGGAAAAGTCTTAGAAAACTAAATCCTTGGACCTCAAATTTGTATCATTTGTATTAGCATCAAATTCACTGAAACCTCCTCTTCCTCTAGCCACCCCGTAGGATTCCAGATTGTTGAAATGCAGACACAACGTAATAATGTCCTAATAGATGAAAGACAAGGGCTACTTCATCTTCAGCTCCAAAAATCCAGATGATCAATAGATGCCAAGAAAGACATAGAGCAACACAAACTCTTTGCTGCACTATAGTGGTAATCCAGTTTGAAGCCCTGTATTGTAGCTCTGCCAAAGATGGTTTATCTTCAGCAATGGTGGGCAATTTGCCCCCATTTCCTTCCTTTCAATGGAACAGTTATTCTCTTGTATGCACAATTTTTTCACCTGTTGCTTCTTCTTTTTTATCATACTGCCTGTGGGCAAAATTCCACAGACTTCAGTGGCACTCTGTAGCATAATTCCTTTCAGATTGTTTGAAGCACTCCTACATCTTCTTCCCTTATGTCCACTTTCCATTCATTCTGTTGGGAAATTGATCTATATTTTTCATAAGAGACATGCATTTTTCTTCCTGGAGTGGTTTTACTTTCACTCTCAGCTTTTTAACGTCTTTCCTTTTCTTCTGTGTTCATTTTCCCACGGCCCATCCTTGACACTCCCAAATAAACACTTGACCTACATTTAGAACCTCTCATCAGCTTTGGGTCTTTCACGGATTCTCTCAATCCTATCAACCATGGATAATCAGAATAATTTTGCTTTAGACTGATATTCATTCCTCTCACCTGTGTACATATCAATAGATTTTGGCTTAACCCACGCAATTGAAACAGACAGGCCTTTTTCTAAGCAGAAACATATTAAGCAGTGAAAATTCTCGTTATTCCTACCTCTCAATTCATGCCACTTAACACAATATATTTTTCCCCTTGAATTGTATTTTTTTCAGAATGTTTCATAAGAATAAAAATATGTTTTTTTCTATTTCTACTATCACTATTCACTAAAGTATAATTTTTCTTACATTCCATGTTAAATCTTCCATATTTCATGGTGGTTTTCAGCTGTGCCCATAAATAGTGTCCTCCGCTTCCCATCGTAAGGATGGTTATTTGTGGATTTCACATAAGTTTTTTCTAGTAAGCTAAGGAAAGAGTAGTTTAGATTATCAGGCTTAGTTTTACCTTTGCAACGTACAGCATTTTTTGTTAATGGTTAAAAACGGCGCTGCTGAGTTTTGGCACATTTTGGCCAGTATGTCAAAAGTGCAGGCAAAGCTCAATTTTATCTTGAGCAGCTCATGCTACTCTCCGCAAACTAGGTTCTCTAATCCACAGATGATCATGAAAGCCAACATACTGTTGTCCATATCTCACCAGCTGGAAATACATGCAATGTACTGGAACCTAATCATACTGATGTGGATAGTAAGCGTTATTGAAGCTGTGCTTGAACATGCTGAAGGTCTCTCTGTGACAAATTTAAGAAGTATTTCAAGCATGCTTTAGAATACTTTCTCCAAGAAGTGCTTTACCACCAAATTAACTGAATTTTCATCTAATTCTATCTTTAGCTTACTGCGAAGTATGGACCTATATTTACTGTCTGGATTGGATCAAAACCAATGGTTGCACTCTGTGGATATGAAGTGGTAAAAGAGGCTTTGCTAGATCATGCGGAAGAGTTTGGTGGGCGAACTGAAACGCCCGTGAATAGGCGGTTGTTCCAAAATAAAGGTTGATTCTCTTTCATATCCTTATCTGTTATTGTTTTTCTTTAAGTTTTTATAATTCATTTCAAATTATCTGATTGCCATGACTACTATTAATAGTTGTAAAAGTTTTACTTGAAATGAGGTTTTGTAAAGATGTTGATTTGCTGATGCTTCTTGGAGAGGGAGGAAAACATTTTTTCAACATTTTCCTTCCACTGGTCACTTCTGAAGTCTGCTCAGGTGGTTCCTTACATGCAGGGGAAAAAAAAAACAACTCACCTCTAAACTATCCTTTAGGAAGACACACAGAAATGTTTTCCCAAAGGAACCACTATTGACTGATGTCATCTGGACTAATGTTGAAAATTAATTTCATGTACCTTCAAGAGTAGTTTGGACTCTGAAGAACTAAGAAGTAAGAATTTCATGTACCTTCAAGAGTAGTTTGGACTCTGAAGAACTAAGAAGTAAGAATTTCATGTACCTTCAAGAGTAGTTTGGACTCTGAAGAACTAAGAAGTAAGATAGAAAGAATATTGACCCCTTTGAACATTGGTGTTGGAGAAGATTCCTGAAATATCATAGATAGCCAGGAAAACACAAACAAATGGATCTTGGAACAAAACAGCTTATACTTGGAGCACAAATGACCAATCTCAAATTTCCATACTTCAGACAGATTGTGCAAAGGCCCAGCTCTCTAGAGAAGGTTGTAATGGTGGGAAAGGTGGAAGGAAGAAGAAGAAGAAGATGGCCATCCACAAGGTGGATGGACTCAGTTACGATGGTGATGAGTGTACCATTGGAAGTCCTGGAGGACTAGGTTAGGGACAGATCATCATGGAGAAAATCTATGTGGTTGCTAAGAGCTGACAGTAACTTGATGACACATAATCAAGCAATCAAGTAAGCAAGAAATGGGAAGTGTCTTCTTTTTGCCAATGAAACCTCTACTGCACAAAAATACTGGAACTGAAGCGACTCCAATTTTCTTCTGCTTTTTCTGCTTAGTACAGAATTCTACCCATGTCTGGTACAGAGATTTCTTCTTATCCATATCACACTTATAGAAACTTGTGACATTTGTGAGATTTCCACAACCTCATTCATTCTTCTCTTAATATGACAATAGCCAAGAATGGAAAGATGGAAACTGTGTAGTTCGCTTATTAGCATTCTAAGCATCTAGGAGTGGGGAGGGAAAATATTGTGATGCATAATTTGTTGCGATGCAGTGCCCTGTTTCAACTATGAACGAGGCAAAGATCTGAAGGGGGAAAGTGCCTGAAACCATCATTGATATGTAAACATGCTCCTCCACAAAGGCTGAGAACTGAGTGACATCATGATCTCTTTTCAGGTCTGACCACTGGTGATGAGAAGAAATGGAGGGAGCTGCGACGGTTCACACTGTCCACCTTGCGAGATTTTGGGATGGGGAAGAAAAGGATG